GACTTTTAAAACTCTAGTTAATTTGTGAGTGGAATCTTTTGGTGTAACTAATAATAGTAGGCACGCACGCACACACACACACACACTACACGCACGCACACACACATAGGACACTTGACATGGACACTTGACTGAAATGTTGGGTAATATATGTGATTTCTAGTGCTGGCACGCGTATACAGGTTACGTATACCAGCTTTTTGACAAGCAAAAATGATAATTGAGTTATCAGTTTTCTGCTAGTAAAGGAGCCAGGTAGTTGTGTTCTTCCATCAAATGCAGCAACAGGTACAGAAAGAATGTGGTGTTAGCATTCTTTAATTTTCCTGTATATGGACTACATATATGGGCCATCCAGCTTCAATGAGATTGAAGCAAGTCTAAAATATGGAATGCAGCGTTGTGCAAAAAAGTCCCTGTCATAAACAGAAGATGGCTAAGCTGCATTATATATCAGTTAAATCCTTCAGGATCTCTCATAAGAAAAAAATTGAATCGTCTCACTGTCAGAGGAGCTCTCTTGGCTATCTCTACAGTTTGTCTCAATACAGACATGTGCAGTTAATCAGAGTACTCATAGTGTTTTGCTTGTCACAAGCTGATTAGTCATTACCATTAAGCCTGTTACTTGGGCCAAAAACACGTGTTTTAATAATTATTTCAAGTACAATTTCGTGAAAGCTGCCTGTAGCAATAAGCTGATGAATAGCAATATGATAATACAGCCATTTACAATCAATCATCCTGCTTTGTGCACTGAAGTGCCTCTATTTACTCTTTAACTCCCTACGCTCTACTATTGTTATCTGTCAGCGGTTATCAGTGTTCGAAATAAGGGCTATCCGTTTGTCGATCCTCACTTTTCCATTTCCACGGAGGACAAGTAGACCTGTCCAGTAGCTTGTCCGCTGGACAAGCAGCTTTTGAGAGCAACTTTTTCATCATTTTCTACCATCGCTTCAACTTTGTTAAGACAAGTAATAACTTAAATTAAATCATTGTGCTTCTTTGTGTTCTTTCAAGTTTGGTGTCTAATTACCTCCGCCCAACGGAGTTGGAGGAGGTTATGTGATCGCTCTCGTGTGTTCGCGCGATCGATATTAGCGCGTCGAGTCAGCGAGCCATCCAGCCAGCGCAGCGAGCCAGCTCGTAACACATACATGTTACATTCTGGCGGAGGTATGCACTCTCTGTGAGTGCCCTCTGTCTAGTTTAAACTGTTAGTGAACTGTATTAAAATTACAAAGTAAGATATTGGGTCTAAAGTTTAATTTGATTAAATGTATTACACATTTACTATATTTCTATGTTAATAATCAGGACAAGCAAAAATTTTGCAAGACAAGCCAAAATATCTTGTAGCTTGTCCGTCGGACAACCCAAATTTTTTCCTTATTTCGAACACTGGTTATGTGGCAAGCATAGGAAGTGCCCCATCGGATTGTATATGGTCTTTGTACATGTTACATTCTGGCGGAGGTATGCACTCTCTGTGAGTGCCCTCTGTCTAGTTTAAACTGTCAGTGAACTGTATTAAAATTACAAAGTAAGATATTGGGTCTAAAGTTTAATTTGATTAAATGTATTAGGCCGACCTAAAAATTACCTTTGGTTCGGGTCACCCGCCCGACTTCACATTTCGGAGTGATAAAATGTGCGACTGCGGTCACTTTTAGAGGGTTTCAAGAAAAAATAAAATTGAAAGATACCGCCTGCCGATCATACATATTCAAATATCCGACTCTTGTCATTTTAT